GCTTCGTGATTCGAGACGGGGGATCACCGGCTCGTGATTCGTAATTCGTGCTCCGTGCTTCGTGCTTCGTGATTCTAGACGGGGGATCACCGGCTCGTGATTCGTGATTCGTGATTCGTGCTCACCCATGTCAATGTGATTCGTGATTCGTGATTCATGCTGGCCCATGGTGTGCCCGAATTCCCTCCTGCGTGATTCGTGATTCGTGATTCGTGATTCGTGACCACGAATCACCTCGGCCAATTACACCTCCGGATCACGTCTCCAAAGGCGACAGATGCACTCGGTGTCATGACCGCTGCTCATGCGGCAGCCAGAAGTGTGACATGTTGCTCTTGCACGGCTAAGAATTATATATATATATATATATATTATATGTATATCACGGTTGACATTAAGGGCATCCAGTTGCAAACCCCCAAGTGGGACTCCAAGTCACCGTCCCAGTGATTTCTACGTGGAAAGGCTAGAGCATAGCTGCGCCTCAAAAGGCATGCTTTCAATAAAGAGTTTGAGCTGGGCAGGCGGCTTGCCTCCGGACTGTAACATCCTTGTGGCGATGCCGGCCTGTATTTGGAACATGGTCTCTGCCAATCGCTCGCCTTAGGAAGTGAGCATTTTGGAAGGGATGTGCGGAGGGGAGTGCAGCGTTGGATTGCCACCGTGAATCATGGCCTATTTGCAGGGCACGCAGACGGAGGCCTTAGCCGAAGAGTGGGGCACCAAGAGCTATTGCGAGAATTCCCTTGCCTGCATGTTGGGCACCTGGATAAAATGGTTTGGCCTTGCAAAGGGTGCGGCAATTTACAGCAGAGTGTTGCACATGCTGCGTGGTTTCAGAATGTTGCAGAGTACAAAGAAAGTGCGGCACATGACCCAATTTCCCCGTCCGTTGTGACTCTGCAATGCATGCTTTTCTGGGTGACATGTTGATCATGTCGTGTCATGGTCAATTTCATGGCGGATGTGCCAAAAGGGCATCGCCACCTCAGATAGTTTGCTGGTTGCTATCATTGTCATCAACATTCTTTAGACGTTCAGACCTCTCAGGGGACCCTTGAGTGCATACCATTGCGGAACAACATGCATATTCAGTTGAGGCTTGACCTAGGCGTGAATCCACAGAACTCCCGAGGCCTCTCCCAAGTGTTTGGTGGACATAGATCTTGGCGATGACCTTCATCAATTGGTCCCCAGTCATTTAAGTAACTCGTACCCACCGGGGGGTTTAACAAAAGCTCCCAACCCATACCCAGACCAAGGCTCATGCGAAGCTGCCTGCTTCTCAAGAAGCGGCGGGCTCTGAACAGGCAGCCCTCCAGGCTGGAGGGCTTCTCAGGCATGTGGGCTTGCCATGATTTGTGGGGAAGCCTGGGATGCGTTTTCCATACCCAACAGGAGGTGCGCCCATGGTGATCGAAAGGGCATGAATGTAGCTAGACCCGGCATGTCCACCTCTTCTCATAGAGCCCCTCGGTCGGGGTGGGGTGGCCGGGGGCTGGGTTTGTATGAGCAGCTGAACCCTTGCACCCCATTGAGGACACACTTTCGCCAGTGTCAAGGCTGCAAGCGATAGCACAGCTAGCTGAACTCATGCCGAAGGATTCGGGCTTGTTGATACTTCGAGAATCTTCGAGACATGTTTGCAACAAATCGCTGACAGCTGCTGATTTGGGTTGTGCTTTGCTCCTCATTAGGGGTGGAAACGGAGCCCTAGCCGGGCCTTTGGGCCTTTGTGGCTTTTGCTTGCTTGGTCACATCCGGTGAACGGTTTGCCGACTGCCGTTTTTTTGTCAGGCACTGAGGCTGAGAGAGGCTGCGAGGAAAGACCGCTGTTTAAATCTCCCAGATGTCCAGTTGACGTTTTGCCTTCCGACCTTCAGTAATTCATCGAATTGGACAAGCAGCCGCTCAGCTGTTGCCATCTTGTCACGGTCCCAAAGCCAGACCTTGGAATTCCCGGTGCGAGGCAGAGTTGCTCGAAAGACGCACAGGTCATTCTGAAACACGTGCCAGCTGCTGCCAGCTGCTTTGACAGTATTTCTGTTGAACCATGTGATTTTCTACTGCTTGTTTCGATTCTGAGGTGCGGGTGGCATGGCGCCGTCAGGGTTGCAGTTTGCCTAGCTGCTTCCATGACTGCACGTTGACGAGTCGTTGCGTTGGCAAGTGGCCAAAGGGTGAGCTCTTTGCTTGTGGGGCCTTTCTGGGCAATTTATGCCAGAAAAGCCGCGGGGCAGAAGTTTCTAGCATACAAGAATTATATGTCTTGCTTTTTCTCTCTTTGTGTCCTCTTTCGCTTTCTCTTCTTTCTCTTTCTCTCAATTCCTATCTGTCATGTGATGTGTTCCTAACGCTGCAAAAGTGCTGCACCTGCTACACAATCTGCACCTCAAAGAGCAAAAGTGCTGCGCTTGTCACGCAATCTGTGCACCAGAGTCTTCAAACAGTGCTGCTGGTGCCACGCAATCTACGCCTCAGGTTGCCAAAGTGCTGCGTCATTGACGCAAACCAATGTCGCGAAATGCGCGTGTTTGTGCCAATGGGCCCGGGACCTACACGATTCCCGGAAGCACGCCCACGGATGTTTCTCGGCATGCGAAGATTCTTTCTTTATCTTCTGGTGTCCTCGGCGCGTCCTTTGAGACTTCCTTTGCCAGTCGGGCCAGGGCAAGGAGCTGAGAGCGGAATGCCCCCGCATTTGTTGCCTATGCCGGAAGTTTCTAGGCCTGTGCTTGTGGGCAACTGGCCCCATGGGCGCAAGATGCTTCGAGCCCCCATTATAGGGCGCGCCGCAGCCATTTCAGTGTTCAGCTGCAGGGCAGGGCGCCTTTTACCAACGCCATGTCGCGCCCCTTGATCGCAATGAGCGTGAACTCTTCCGGGTGATACGACTGACCACCCTTGCGGATGCTTCCGCCGAATAGCCAATGTGGCCCCCCCCACCCCGCCTGCCCAACAAAAGGAGGGAACAAAGCAGATTGCGCACACACACATAATATATATATTTTCGTTTTTCAGTGGTGTCCTGGGTGTCCCAACGTCTGATTGGGGTTCCCCTTTGCCGGGCTCAAAAACTGCCAAAAACGCAAATGTGCGCAGTAGGGGTTCAACTGGAATGCTCCAGGTATTTCTTGGATTTGTCAGTTCAAAATCGAAAAGGTTAAACGGCGCAATTGAAACCTTAAACTTCCATTTGCCATTGCACGTAAACTTGTTTTCAGCAAGAGCCCCTGGAACTACCGGGGCACAATGTCGGTTGCGAATTGGCTTAGTATTGCCAAAATCTACTTTAGTATTGTGAGATATTGGGAGTACGGGTATGGAATCCATGTTTACAACTCGGGCGCATTCATTCGCAAGGAGAAGTGATTAGGGGACGTTCTGCTGGCAAAAAGGCTGTCCGAAGACGGTGCGATACTTGGTCATTTGCACCAGGTCCGGCACATTTCCAGTATGGCAGTCAGTCGCTCAACCTGAACCTGCCTGGATCCTGCCCATTGTTTGTGCACTTGTTTGAGGGTGTCCCTTTCAGGTTAAAGGAAAACCACAATGTGTTGAGTCCAAATTCCTATTCAGTCTCATGGAAGATGCTGTCTGAGGCAAGTACATTGTGGGCGGCAACTGGAAATGCAATCCTGCAACTATGAAGGAGGCCAACAGCCTCCTCAAGGAATGGAAGAAGCTGCTTGGCTTGAGGTCTTCTAAAACGTTTCTGCACCCAACATTTCGAGCTCACGTGGAGGTGAAGTTGGCTCACCCATGACAAGGTTCCTTAGGGATTCCTTAGATTCAGGTTGAAATATGGTGAGTAGTGAGGCTGTCAGGATTCTGAATCTGTCTTGTTGGATGCCACTCCTGCAGGCATTCAGCTTTCACAGGTGAATGTGCAGCGCACTTGCCATCTGGAAGCAAACTTGGCGGTCTTGCTTTTTCGAGGATTGCCAGTTTTATGGTTGTCTCAGGGGTTAAAGGGAAACCACCCAATCTCGGACATTCCCTCGCATGGAGACAAGCCCTCTTGCAGACTCTGGAGCTGTCATGGGCTGTTCATGGATACGGCAAGAAGGGCAAAGCAACAAAGCGAAACATGACTGCGTGCCAGCATGGGTGACCATTTTAGGTTGGAGGGATAAGGATGAAGGTTCACAGGGTGCCCTGATCTCGGTTTGGCGAATCAAAAGCGGCGTGCATGTCAGCTTCCCATGCTTGATCTGGCAACGGGCAGCGGCGCCACCGCCGCCCCTGAATGTATAGGTTTGCCGAGATTGTTGGTTTTGGCCTTTGCGGTGCTGGGCCACATAAGTAAGACAATTGACCTTATTCGCAATACAAGGGCACAGGCACAATCAATATTTGTGAGCACGCGCATTAGACATGATGGACTCCAGGACCAGTAAAATGCCACTAAACGGATAGTAGCATAGTAGCTGTGCGCATGTGCATGCATTTGCACATGTAAATCTACGCATGCATTTGCATACATGTATGTGCAAAGAAGGAATGTGTTTGTGTGTTTGTTGATGTTTGCTATTCTGTGTTTACGCGTTGAAGGCAATCTCAACCGCTGTGAGCTGACATCAGGAGCCCGCCCCTCGTGGACCCGAGCGGCTCGGCACAAGTTCAAGAATTAGATAGCGTATATTGCGAGTTGGAATGTTTGGTTAGCCATAGGCTTGAGTAGAATTCTACTGCCAAAAGTTAGCCCGTTGTACACTTCTGAGTTCACGCACAATTTAAATGGCGACGTGGCTTGGGCAGCTGGGGTTCTGCTTACAGGTGCGGCTTACCTTTTTTGGGGCGATGCTAGAAGTGGGAATCCCTCGAAGCAGATGGAGTTGAGGGGAGGCAGCGATTTCCAAGGCAAGGTGGATGTCGTGATTTGCCCACCTGCTTTGTGGATGAGCTCTTTGGGAGAGAGCATTGAGGCGTGTTGCTGGGCTCAGATGCAGGGTGCCGTTCTCCAATAAAGACCCCCCACCAGCGGTCCCGGGTTGCACGCCGTTCGTGGTTGAAGGATGACTTTGCTGCTTCGTCATTGTTCATGAACAAGCTCACAGCTTGTTTTGTAGAATTTTGCCCACCTGGCTTGGGCTTAGGTGCGTGTACGGAGCAGGTCTCGGGTGGATCCCCCAAAGCTTGAGCACGCAGGGCCTCGGCATGAAGACCTGCGCGCAGAACGTGGGCAAGAACGATGCTGGAGCCTTCACGGGCCACTTGGCTGAGTGGCGTGCGTCAGGTTGCAGTTGCGCAACCAACCAAACAACCAACCAACCTACCTTGGAACCAACCTTGGAACCAAAAGCAAGGCCAGTGCGCCACCAACTGCGCCGGCCTGAAGAAAAACTCAGTGGCCTAGAGCCCTTCATTCGCCCTGACTGGGTGGGGAAGAAACTTAAGGGGGCACAAGGATCTCAAAAGGTTGCCTGGCCCGACTTCTTTGGTGCCACGGTTAGGATCTGACTAAGGCTTATTCCGCAGCAGCGAGGCACACAGCAAGACTTTGAATCAGCTGTTTGTCACCTGTTGCTTGTTCTCCCTGCACGGTTATGCTTGACGATTATGATGCAAGAATAGTGAGTAAGAGTCAGTTAGCATACCCAACCGATGGGTACTGATAGAAGTTAGCACGTTTGAAGAGCTCCCAGTAAATGGATGGGTAATGTGCCAGCTGACTGTTACTCACTGAACATATCTCCACATGTTGTTCCCACAACGAACTTGTTTGCAGAAAAAAGGTTGGGAAATATATAAGCTGAGCGTATAACTTGTGTTGGTCCTGGTCCCAAAGCAAGCTGCCAGGTGAGTGGACAGCCGCCAATCTTCAGGATCTCGCCGGGGCCCAAAGGATCCCGCATGCACCCCCATTGGCAAGTCTTGAATTCCCAGCACTGGTTCACTGCAGCATGGCGCGAGCTCATCGAACTACCTCACGTGGGGATGACCTGGGCAGCTTCTGTAAACTCTTTGATGTCATTATGGCTCGTTCAGGGGCACACCGACTGCGTTGGCAAGATAGCCAAAGATAGGGAGAGAGAGAGAGAGAGAAAAAAAAAACAATGAGAGAGTGAGACAGAGAACCAAGCAGATCCACTTGGTCAGTCTCTAGGTGCGCTTGTTTCAACCTGTTATCAACAACTATATGTAGCACTATAATTATATGTATTTTATATTCACTTCCTGAATTCCTGGACTTTTACTCGTGGGGAAATCTAGCTTAGTGGCAAATAAACAGTTTGGACTTGTTTTGGCCACTCAGGAAGTGAGATTATATGCAACCCATCCATGAACACCTGCGCTGCGTTGGGGTTGTGGAAGCCTTCAAGCCTGGCATGGTGTGAGAGGTCCTGCTGTTGGTACACACACAATATATATATATAATATACACATCTTACTATTTCTTGACGACACATACCAATGTAGTTTGCTTACACGCGCGCACACACACACACACATGAACATGTTCACTTGTTTATCCATGCGCTTGGGACCAAGGGCATCACTTGGACCCTGGTGGGCCACTCGGAGCGCCGCACAAAGTACGGGGAGAAGGACGAGGATTGTGCAGAGAAGGCCCGCCCTTGCGGGGCATGTCAGCCTCGGGCACGGGAGCTGTGCTTTATGTTTCGTCGTGCTTCCCCGCAGAAACCAACAGGAGTCTCTGTGTTGCTCTTTTCTTTTTTTTACATCACCTTTTTGGGAAAGACAGGGAATCCTGTGAAACACCCTGATTAATACCTCCCTAGTTGCTGCGATTTGCATTTTTTTAACATGTGGGGAAGGTCAGGTGGCACACCACATGCATGCAAGTGCCAAAGTGAGCACTTTTTCAGCTGTCCGCGACTTCCCATGTGACAAACTAGTTGAGGGACCACAAAATGACTCACCGCAACAACCTGACAAAGAAAAATGCCAGCTGAAGGATAGAGAGATGATGTGCAAATTCCAAGAAGGATTGCCCAGAACGCCCCGCCCCGCCGCCCCATGCAAGTTTCGCACTCCGAGGATTTGCGCAAGACTAAGCAGAATAAGAAGCCAGGATGACTCGGAGCTTCCAATGCGATCTCAGTAGCCAGCTGGCCTACTCGCCGGCGTAAATCCGGATGAGGTGAATATCCAAGGCAGCACGAGACAGGACAAGAAGAACGCTTGGGATGGAACTGCACTCCATCAAGCAGACTGCAGGTGCCTCTCATCCCATCACAATTCAGTACATTTCTGAACAGTAGATTCCAAGACAATCAGCCATTTTTCGGAAGCGCAGCTTCAACCCGGTCCAAAGCATCAATCCACTTCTTTTTTGAATGTCCGGCCAATTGGCATCACAGTGTTGCATTTGTTCTCCGAGTTGCTCAACACACTCAGTACACCCTACATTACATTGCTTGGAATTGCGACGTTCCACGGTTGACGTTACCGGGACAGCGATCCATCTGCTGGCAGGTGGCCAAGTGCCAGGAGGCGGGCCTGGGAGTGATCCTGTGCATTGGCGAGACGCTGGATGAACGCCACGTGGCTAAAGTGAGCCGCGAAGGTGAAAGCCACGAAACCCTTCAGGTTGTGAATGTCTTGGTTGAGCGGCCTACGTGTTTGGTGGTCAGGCATGGTGCAAGTACCTTGATTTGCCAGTGGTTGTTGGTGATCCTGACATTGGCTAGCATGCGAATTCACGTAGGCTTGAGAGACTACATTTCAGGCCTAGCTAGCATGGTCATCACCTGGAAGCGGACAGCTGTTTTCATGAAATGCACGTTCGTGGATTGAAATCACATCTTCCACCCAACTCAACCGGTGGTTTGCAGCTAGAAGCTTGTGGAACGCAAGCTCAATCCCGTTTCGACGTCGAATTCGGTGCCTGCAAGTCGGTCTGGGAATGGCCATCCGGTGGCAAAAGCTTCTCATGCCCTCGGGCTCCACCCATGCCCAGTGCCACAGTTGTTGTCACAGTTATCGATCTGCACTTTTGGCATTCCCTTCAGTAAAGCCGCCTCCCGGCAAGTCAGACCCTTGCCGGAGCGGGGGGGCTTTGGTTTCCTTCCTGGTAGGTTGGCACCTGGCGATGTTTGGGGGTTTCTGCCGCTGAAGGTGAGGGCGGCAAGACGGACGAGGTGAACAAGCGCCAGCTGGCGGCTGTGCTTCCCAAGGTGAAGGACGGCTGGAGGGTCGATTGTGGAACAGGTGGCCGGGGGCTGCAATTGAGTTGTGACAGGTTGCCAATGTAGACTGAAACATGTGGTGGGGAATAGGGAAAGAGGCATCTTGAGGGCATACGTGTGTTTTGCTTACAGGCTTAGGCAGCCTCTTTTGCTGCAGGACTGGAGCAAGATTGTCATCGCATATGAGCGTCAACCTCAGGGGGCCGGGCGTTCTGATATGAGAGAGAGAGCGCAGCGTCTTGCTTCGGTGATCATTGAAGCGCACTCTGACTACTGATCTTTCATGTGGAAAAGCAAAAGCCACCGCAGCGTCTCAAGCACTCGTCTCAGTTTGATCTTCAGACCGTTTTCGCTGACACAACAACTATCGCCAATTTGCTGTTGTTTGGCATCCCAATAACAGTAATTTGAGGGGATCAGGTCAATGAAGTCACATTGGTTGGGTTTGAGCCTGGCAGTTTCACAACTTTCGCGGAAAAACTTATTTCACGCAAACCTAACGAAGCACATGCACCTGCACAATCTCGATACAAGGGTTATTAGGCCACTCTGGCCTTTCTCGGTATCACGCGATGTCACGCAGGCTGGAGTCGGATCTGGCGGCAAACATTTAGAATCCTTGACCGCGCGTTCTCGTGCCAAAAACGAGCTTGGACATGCTTGGGTTAAAGAACAGGTTGCAACATAAAATGCACCCGCCCGAATTCTAGAAAGCACATAATTTGTCTTTTACCTACTGTTCGCTAAGGAAGGGATACGTAGGGATGTCTTAGCTCAGTTTGGCCTAGGCCATTTCCATCTAGCGCGATTACTGGCTGGTTGACTTGTTATCCTTGATCTCCAGACAGAGGCCGATGTTCGGCCAAGGCCGGTGTGGGCCATTGGCACCGGCAAGGTGGCCACCCCGGACCAGGCAGAAGAGACCCAGGCCGGACCGAGAGTCCGGAGTCGGGCGGCATATGGGAAAGCTGACCACGCTAATTAGGCGGGTGCGTCCTTTGGTGGTAGCATAATTTAGGCTAGTCAAGTTTTCGGATTGCTATGGTCTTCCGAATTTGAGCCTGCTCGGCACAGCTGCGTGCTTGATTTGATCCGACATGTTGGGGCGTATTGCTAGCCTTGATGGCACCAAATACAGGATGAATCCCTTACTTGACCTTTAGGTAGACATGTCTTGGGGGGATAGCCCGAGAGGCTGCCATCCGGAACTACATCAAGGGTGCCGTGAGTGCCGATGTGGCGGACAAGGCCCGAGCTGCGTGCCAGTAGCCAGGGCACCAGCTGCCTTTGCTGACCTCAGGGGTTCCTTTCCTGTTTTTTGTTCTTACCAGTGGTCGAGCATGCTTGATGAACAAGGGTTGCGGCCTGGGGCGTTGCGCACGCAATCATGTAAGATGACCGCTGGAAAGAGGGCTGGAGAAAATACACACCCCTCATGTGTTTGCCATCAATGAGGTCCGCCTGTGCGTGTGCCTGTGTTCACCCGTTGGCAACAATTATCCGGCAATCTCCCCATGGCAATCCATGCTTGCACACGCAGTGGATGCTTGTTTGTTTGCTGCAGGGCTGGGTCAAGCGCGCGCCTAGCCTCATTGGATGACTGCTTGCTTGTCAAAAGCGAAAGTACGTGTCATGTGCGATTCGTGCATTGGATTGTGGCGCTTGCCGTAGGAAGGCCTGAAACAGGCCGAAATTGCATTTCCTTTGGTCGCCATGGACGCCTACCAGACGGGGCGCCGCATCTTTCATGAGCAGACGACCGAATTCAAAGGGCACGGGACTCACCAGCAGCTCCTTGGCGGGAGAACGATCAGAGCTTCAGTTGTTCCGCGGATGCCGTGTTTCGAGCAAGCAGCAAAACCTTCCTTCCCCTACTGGCCTTCGGCCACTAGGCAACGAGTCATGTTGAACGCACGGTGAACTTACCCTTGTCTGCTATTCTTTGTATGGGCAAGGGCATCTCGATAGCGAGGACAGCTAGGAACAAGAAGCTCTTCCAGAGGTGAATGCGCAAATCACCGAACATATGCAAATCTTGTCACAAAAACCAGCCCCTGGTCCGGTGTCAAGAGAAGCCAACAGCAGATGTTTCAACAAGGGGCTGGTTCAACAACCCTGGATTGCGGTCAACGGTTTCCGCACGCTGCCTGAAGCTTAGAGAATGCCTTTTGAGCCCAGCAACTTGCTGTCATTGCCTTTGCTTTACCCCAATTCGTGTTTCATCATATTTTGTGAGATGTCTATGGCAGGCTCATTCATGTTTGCAACCTCGCATCGATAAATTAGGTGTGTGTTGTGCCCTCCTGTGCTCGCACAACATATCCCCTCGCCAACAAGGGCAACCGGGCGTGGCAAGCACTCGAAATTGAGGATGTGTGCCGCTTTGGTGTTGTTTTGTTTGCTTTTTCTGTTTGTCACTCTTTGGCATGTGCATTTGGTCGGTGCGTCACCCTACTGCCGCCACTGCAAGTAACAGATCCCACCCACAAGGAAAATACTGTACTGGGGGCAAAAACTCGCCCACGATGAAGGTCTTACTTGGGGTTTTCCCAGTCTCGGTTTTGCACACGTGGAGTTGGGGGTGTTCCCCAGGTTCGCCAGCTAAGGCTCCTGAATGCCTACCTCGACGCAGCCGCAGCACATCCCGTCGCAGCGCCTCAACCACCCAAGCGCGGACACCTGGGGATCATGGCGAGTCCCACGCCTTGCTCCATGAGGTTAGCTGTGGCTGAATGGTTGGATTTGCTTTAACATCAGTGCCACCAAGCATTTCCACGGAAGGCACCACAAGTGTTAAACATTTGGTCTCTAGACGTCGGTACTTCATATCTTCCAAGCACTCTTTGGATTTGCTGATTTTTGAAATGATGGTCGGAGCAGGCTTGCCCAACATGGCCCGCAGCTCCTTCATAGGGGATTATGGATTATAAATTGTGGGACTGGTGTCACGTAGCTCGTTCGAAGTGCTAGTTATTACATCGGGGAGCTAAACACCAAGTTCAGAGAACCCACCGGCTCTCAGGAGGCCCCGGACCCGCGTGTTTGCGAGAACTCTTCATTGCTTGTGCCCATGTCAGGTATGCATGAGTTTCAACATACATCCTGGACGACAATCCTACCCCATGCTTGTCTTATCTTGTCTTGGCCCGGCAATGGTGGAAACCCTCACAAACCGAGTGGGTCTTTTGCTGCTCTATTGGGATCTAGTAGGCGCTACTTGCCTCTCCGCAGGTTGGGGTGCTTCGTTTGGCCCCTTGAAAAGCATAAGATCCAAACGCTGAATGAGAGAACTTGGCTTGCTGCGCCCGAGGCTCGTCCCGCCCTCCATGCCCAAGCGCGCCTGCGAAAGGGATTGGGGATATGGGGGGTGGTTAGCTGCATCGGCTGGGCATGAGGTGGAGTAGCACTCACCGCTTGGGAAAGCCGAAGCTGTGCCTCTTTGCTTGGGCTGAGGTTTTAGCATGTACCAGTAGACGTGCTTGTGACCAGCGGCTTGAATTCGCCCCGACTTAAAGACATACCGCAGAGCAGGCACCATGCATCCGGAACAGTTGGTTTGCTTCCCGTGCCAGTTGCAAACCATTGTGGGGCTTGTCTTCATGCAAGAAGTTTGTGTGTGCCTTTGAGCGTGAGGGGCGTGAAGGGCCTAAAGTCTTTGGCCTGAAATGCTGGGACCCAATACGCACAGATGGTCATGTACGGCACAATTCGCGTTGAATACGTGCAACTCATCAGGACAAAGAGCCTCTCCCCCTCCCGGGCCCCCCCCCCCCCGAAAGGATTGAGACCAGCGGGCTTAAGCAGCACAAGCTGCCGAAGGGTGTGCTTCTGACGGCAGGAGTTTCTGTTTGAGAATTCTGCGCTAGCGCCCCCGGGCCTGAGGCCTACTTGTGATGTTCCTCATTTTGCATGGCAAGGCTGCCGCTGCCTCAAAAAAGGCAAGAAACTATATCCTTAAACAAAGGTTGGCACATGCTTCAAATGGGAGCCCTTGTGCTTCTCTGCCAGCTTCGCGCCGGCGCAAATCCTACGACACCCCGGGAGGCCAGGCACTCAAGTCGAGGGTTCCGAACCCGGGGGATTTCGCCGGACCGCATGTCGCCGAAACGGATGTCCCCGGTGCCCAAGCGGGAAAAGATGTTCGGGTGACTCGTCTGTGTGAACTGTGAGTCGCACGCGCGGGGCCTCCATTCTAGGTTGGCGAGTAGTTCATGACGACTCATAAATACATATATGTACATGTAGATAAATATCTCTCGCGCGCTCTCTCTCTCTCTCTTTTTTCCCGAAAGCATGGCGAAGGGTTCTTCCGCTGGGTTCACTTGAATTGTTCTCATGAGAGTCATTACAAGGTGTCATTGCAAGGAATCATCATCATGAATCATGTTGCAAGGAGTCATGCAAGGAGTCATTGCAAGGAGTCATTGCAAGGAGTCATTGCAAGGAGTCATTGCAAGGAGTCATTGCAAGGAGTCATTGCAAGGAGTCATTGCAAGGAGTCATGGCAAGGATTGCAACTTGCACTTGACTCCTTGCACTTGCAACTTGCACTTGACTCCTTGCACTTGCAACTTGCACTTGACTCCACTTGCACTTGCAACTTGCACTTGACTCCATGCACTTGGCTCCTTGCACTTGGCTCCTTGCACTTGGCTCCTTGCACTTGGCTCCTTGCACTTGCAACTTGCACTTAACTCCGTGCACTTGCGACTTGCACTTGACTCCATGCACTTGGCTCCTTGCAACTTGCAATGGCTCTCATGACTCCTTGCAATGACTCCTTGCAATGACTCCTTGCAATGACCTCCTTGCAATGACTCCTTGCAATGACTCCTTGCAATGACAATCCTTGCAATGACTCCTTGCAATGACTCCTTGCAATGACTCCTTGCAATGACTCCTTGCAATGACTGCTTGCAATGACTCCTTGAAACAAGCAAGGAGTCAAGTGCAAGTTGCAAGTGCAAGGAGTCAAGTGCAATTGACTTGCGAGGAGTTAAAATCTCTTCTTAGGGCGGCGGGGTAGTGCCGACGACACTACACGAAAATCGACCCTCTGCGGGGATCGGCGTGGTCGAGGTGCAAAAAACCCATGGTTTTTTGCGATTTTACCGAAAGCATGGCGAAGGGTTCTTCCGCTGGGTTCACTTGAATTGTTCTCATGAGAGTCATTACAAGGTGTCATTGCAAGGAATCATCATCATGAAAGTCAATGCAAGGAGTCATTGCAAGGAGTCATTGCAAGGAGTCATTGCAAGGAGTCATTGCAAGGAGTCATTGCAAGGAGTGCAATTGCAACTTGCACTTGACTTGCACTTGCACTTGCAACTTGCACTTGCACTTGTGCACTTGCACTTGCACTTGACTCCATGCACTTGGCTCCTTGCACTTGCTCCTTGCACTTGGCTCCTTGCACTTGGCACTTGCAACTTGCAACTTGCACTTGACTTGCCTTGCACTTGCAACTTGCAACTTGACTCCTTGCAATGACTCCTTGCAATGACTCCTTGCAATGACTCCTTGCAATGACTCCTTGCAATGACTCCTTGCAATGACTCCTTGCAATGACTCCTTGCAATGACTCCTTGCAATGACAATGACTGCTTGCAATGACTCCTTGAAACAAGCAAGGAGTCAAGTGCAAGTTGCAAGTGCAAGGAGTCAAGTGCAATTGACTTGCGAGGAGTTAAAATCTCTTCTTAGGGCGGCGGGGTAGTGCCGACGACACTACACGAAAATCGACCCTCTGCGGGGATCGGCGTGGTCGAGGTGCAAAAACCCATGGTTTTTTGCGATTTCTAACCTGCTCGCGCGACCCTCTGCGGGGATCGGCGTGGTCGAGGTGCAAAAACCCATGGTTTTTTGCGATTTCTAACCTGCTCGCGCGACCCTCTGCGGGGATCGGCGTGGTCGAGGTGCAAAAACCCATGGTTTTTTGCGATTTCTGCTGCTCGCGCGACCCTCTGCGGGGATCGGCGTGGTCGAGGTGCAAAAACCCATGGTTTTTTGCGATTTCTGCCTGCTCGCGCGACCCTCTGCGGGGATCGGCGTGGTCGAGGTGCAAAAACCCATGGTTTTTTGCGATTTCTGCGGTGCTCGCGCGACCCTCTGCGGGGATCGGCGTGGTCGAGGTGCAAAAACCATGGTTTTTTGCGATTTCTAACCTGCTCGCGCGACCCTCTGCGGGGATCGGCGTGGTCGAGGTGCAAAAACCCATGGTTTTTTGCGATTTCTGCGGTGCTCGCGCA